ACTAGCTGTAGCTCAGCCTCCGCGGGGACCTGCACCACCTATGGGAGAGCATATTCCACGGGGAAATCCTACTCAGAGCTCTCCACCTACACTGACTTCTGCAAGGAAGCCTCCTCCTCTCTCCAGCTGCTTATTTAACTCAATTATGTATAGCAGGGCAGGCTTGCGTCTATTTATTTTATACTCTGATTTATAATCGAATTTCATTAAATTTGATAGAGAGGGTGTGCGACTTCAGAACATGTGTGAATGCATGTGGAAGCCAGAGACAGCCTCTACTGTTAACCCCTGGAATGCCATCTCCCTAAATATGAGAAAGGGACTCTCACTAGCCTGGAGCTCACTGGGTAGGCTAGACCCTTCTGTCTCCACGTTCTCAGAGATAGGATTATACATGTGGGCCAGCATATCTGGCTTTTTACACAGATGTTAGGATTGAATTCAGTCCCTAGTACTTACACACAGCAAGCATTTTACCGACTGAGCCATCTCCTTGACCCCTCTCTTGTCTTTCTGGCACGCAAACTGGTCTAGCCTTGGCCATTGGGCGCTTCTCTCAAGTGGGGTGCTTGTCCCTGCGACACACCTACATTGTTTTCTCAGCGGCTTCCGTTTTGTCCTTCAACGAGTTCCCATTTTCCCGCTATTGCAAAGCACCCCGGTTTAGTGTGTCTTCTCCCCACCCAGCCCCAGAATCAACCAAAGCCTTTTTGCTTACACTACTCTGTTTGGTCAAGTGTGAGTCCAGGTGGACCAGCAGGAACCATCAGTGAGTGCCAGGCACCCCGCCGGGTGCTGGGCTCAGCCAGCAATCTGTCAGGCAGGATTTAATTAGTAGCTCTGGAGAAGAGTGAAGCCTGCATGGATAACATGGAAGTTACCGATAGACCATACAGTGTGTCCTTTACCAATAGTAATCATTTAAATGCTCACTACTGTGACTTCTGGATGGCAGTGAGTCTCACCAAATGTTGCCATCCCTACCCCAGCTCATAGTGACAACTGACACATAAGTGAGTTTATAACCTAAGTCCTGGTGGGATCCATGCTTATGAGTAAGACAAAGGTGAAATAAATGTGACGGGAAACGGACCGCCCCTGTCCATCAACAACCCCAACTCCTAATAGACTTCCCTGCTGAATCGGATGCTGGCTTCCCCATACTGGAAGAACATGTCTGCTCTTCAAGATGCAGTAGCTGCAGATACAACACTTAGCCTCTGTTACATAACATTACTGTTAATGTATTATCTATCACTGTCTTGCAGGGGGGCAGAGTGTGAGAAGGTGTGGTTTATGCATGTGTGTGCAGATGCACTCACCTATGTGTGTGGAGGCCGGAGGGTGACATTGAATATCTTCCTCCATCACTCTCGACCTTAGGCAGGGTCATTCCCTGAACCTGGAGCTCACCGGTTCAACTAGACCGGCTGCCCAGTGAGCTGTGGGGATCTACATCACCAAAACAGCAAGGTTCAGTGTGAAACACTGTCTCAAAAAATAATTAAGATGGAGAAGTGATTGAGGAAGACACCCCAAGATCGATTTCTGACCCCTGTGCATCCACACAGGCAATTTCTCTCTCTCTCTCTCTCTCTCTCTCTCTCTCTCTCTCTCTGAAGTTAGGGTGTGCATAATCCTAAGGCTATGAAACCTCACATCCAGTCTGAGGTGTCACCCAGATCTCATCTAGATTAAAAGTTGACTGAGCAGTGTGCATGTTTAGAACATGTGTGAGTATGGGGTGTATGCACGCCCGCTGCTTAGAACGTGTGTGTGAATGTGGTGTGTGCTCGCCGGCTGCTTAGAATGCGGAGGGGACCTTTCTGGGGTCTTACAACATGGAACACTGAGCACCCCATCTGACTTCACTGCAGACACCTGCTACAATGCTTTAGCTCTTGAGGGCGATGTGCTAAGAGAAATAAGCCAATCATACAACAACTCACGTGGGGCTGGAGAGAGGGCTCAGCAGTTAAGAGTATGGGCTGTTCCCTCAGAGAACCCAAGTCCCCAGGACCCACCAGTGCCCCAAACTGTCACTACTTCTACAGAGATCCAGTGCCTCCAACGCCCACAGGCACCTGAACTCACATACACAGACATACATATTTTTTTAAGTCTTTTTAAGCATTTACATGAGCCCATATTTGAGCAGAGAAGGAGCTCAGCTTCTACGAGGTCAGGTTCAAAGAGAAAGAAAGAGGCAGGAAAAGGGAGTTAAGGAGCGAGAAGAGAGCTTCGGGTTTGTAAGACACAGCCCCCAGCAGCTTGAAGGCTGTGCTTAACACCATTCCTGTGTGTGCTTAGAAACACTTAGGATGGGGCAGACTTGGTGCAGCCTTGGAAACAGGATCTCTGTGCATGCAACCCTCAAATTCATGGTCTTCCCGTCTCCTGTCTCAACCTCCCAAGTTCTGGGGTTACACGCATGCTCCACCACACCCGTCTTTGTCCTCTGGGGGCTTGTTTGTTTAGTCTTTAAGAGCCCCACTTCTCGGGGCTGGAGAGATGGCTCAGTGGTTAAGAGAACCACTTCCTCTTCCAAAGGTCCTGAGTTCAATTCCCAGCAACCACATGGTGGCTTACAACCATCTGTAATGAGATCTGGTGCCCTCTTCTGGCCTGCAGGCAGAGCACTGAGGATACTGTATACATAATTAATAAGAAAATCTTAAAAAAAAAAAAAGAGCCCCACTTCTCCTCTCCTCCTTTGGGGTTGCTGTGTTCTCAAGCCCGAAGAATCAACTGTAGCAGAAGACCCTAGGGCCCAGCCTAGTCTACCCAGTCCTGCTTGGAGCCCACGCTCCTTGAACCAATCCTTATAGTCAAGTCAGGAGACGTGACTGCTGGGTACGTGTTCCCTCCCATAAACAGGGGGAATTGCGCAGAAACACCCGGACCCAGAGATGTCGAGTGGGTCCTGCCTGTGGTCTGGGAGGTGATGCTCCACATCATCCAGTACTCTCGCAGTTGGTTGGCCTGAGATGTATTCAGCCCACATGTTCAGTGAGCACCTATTAATTCAGTAGGACAGTCTAGAAGAAAACAACTGAGGTTAGAGAGTCCAGCCAGGAACAGACCTCAGCAGTGTCTACCTTCCTGAAAGCAGACTCAAAGTGGGTCAGTGGGGTAGCATTCCTAGGTGACTCAGTTTCCCTGGATACTTTTCTCCTATAAGAGTATTCTGGGATGCCGAGGGTCCTCAACCTGCTTCACACCAGGACAGACCCCTGAGCAAGGGACAGTCTTCCTTTGATGGTCTCAGCAAGCTCCAGTCAGGAAGTGGCTGCCTGCTCCTCATTGGTCATTGTTTAAAAAGAGAGATAACAGCTTTGAAAATTCTGGGGCCACAAAGCTCTCAGCAGAGCTTGGCACTTGGACAGTGCGCGGGGTATTCCCAGAGGGAGGCAAGAGACAGACAGAGGTAGGTAGGCATGGGCGCGCACACGCATGCATACACACACAGAGGGAGAGAGAGAGAGAGAGAGAGAGAGAGAGAGAGAGAGAGAGCATAGGGAAAGAGGTGAAAGCTAGAGAAGGGCAGGGAGGCGGGATGAGAGAGAGAGGCTGTGAGCCCTCTCCAGTGGTGACTCATCCAAGGGCTGCTGTGGGAATAGGGGAGCCCAAGTGCAGCGGACCACAGCCCTGCTGCCGTCATCACTGAAGGACAAGGCACGGGGGAGAAGCCTCATTACAAGTTCTGCGTCAGCTCCACTCTGGATTCCTGAGAGGACAGACCCTGATGTCTCTCCTGGGGGAAGGCTCTTGCCAGCATCTCCACTGAGGCAGTCACAGACACCTTCTTCGGGTCCCAGATTCGAGGTGTCTAAGAAGCTCCTGCTGGGACCAGGTGTTCAGGGAGTCCCTGGAGCTGGCCTGACTCTCAGTGGCCTGCTCACCCTTCCTTCCGTGCCCCTGTTTGCGCCCAGCATGCCATGCCTAGCGTCCACTGTAGGTGTGCAAGAGAGGGGAAGTCCTAGTCCCTGAAGGGTGACACACCATCAGTTCAGCAGTTTGGGGCTGGGGGCTGGAGAGATGGCTCAGAGGTTAAGAGCACTGACTGCTCTTCCAGAGGTCCTGAGTTCAATTCCCAGGAACCACATGGTGGCTCACAGCCATCTATAATGAGATCTGGTGCCCTCTTCTGGCATGCAAGCATACATGGAAGGAATGTTGTATACATAATAAATAAATAAGTCTTTTAAAAAAGAGAGAGAGAGAGAGCAGTTAGGGGCTATGTCAGTAGCTTGGGAGAAGTCACGTGTGGAAGTTTTGGATGAGGGTGCCAGGGGGCCCTGAGATGGTTCATTGCGGGTGTGGAGTGTATTCGAATAGTTTACTAATGCCATGGACAATCAGAAAGAAAACAGGATGGCATGGGCTCTAAGCAGAGTTCAGGCCCCAGAGCCAGAGACTGACAGCCTGGTGGAGGATCTGAAGGGAGAAACTGAGGCCCACATGGCAAAAGTGAAGTCTCTTTTTACACATTCCTGAGGGCAGGAAGGTTTCATAGCATACACCCACAGCCAGGCTCTCAGGTTCCCAGGCAGAAGGCAAGGAAGGGTGGGAAGGAGGGAGTATGGCCACCAGTACCCCCTTTGATGTAAACCCAATTTCAGGTTAGAGGCGCTGGCCCCTGGGTCACTGTTAGGTGTCTGTCAGTGTCTGGAGGAGGAGGAAGAAGAGGAGGAGAAGGAGGAGGAGGAAGAGGAGGAGGCCTGCAGATGTTGAGGCCTGAACAGCAGCTGGATCCTCACATCTTTCCTACATGATCTTGCCTCAGCATCATTGACAGGGATGGGCTAAATGAACAAATACAGGGGGGAATCTCTTGGCAGTGTCTGATGTTGTTCTAGCGTCCCATGGCTAGGTCACTGTCCCAAACTTGAGGAGCGTGCAAGAAGGTTCCCTGAAGGGAGTGACCCACAAGCTGGGTCTAAGACAAACTATGACATCCCTGAATGCCGCCTCCTCTAAGCCTCCCGTCTGCCCTGCAGGTCTCCTGCCCGTGGGTGATGGGCCCGGTACCTTGGCCAAGGCCACAGCCACCTCAGACCACACAGCGGCAGCCACACCTGTCAGCCTCGCCACCCCACATGCACTTCCACCAGGGCATCCGGCCAGCTACGGTGCAGAGGAGTTGGTCGCAGGGCTGCCCCAGGCCCACCATGGTCCCACCTACCCCTTTCCAGCGGCCCGTGAGTGCCAGCGGGAAGATGTTTTCCTTCGTGATGGATCCAAAGTCCCCCGTCATCAAGCAAGGTATGTGCCAGGCTCTGGTGGTGACTTCCGGCAAGCGCTTCAAGCCAGGAAGATAGATCGCCCTTGCTTTTCGCTTCTCTCTGATTCTAAAAATGAACTGTAACTAATTGTAAAAAGCATAGCGGTGTACAGGAGAGAGGGCTGGATAGGTAAAGGGGCTGCCACCAAGTCTAACCACCTGAGTTCGATCCCCAGAACCCCCAAGCTGTCCTTCTGACCTCCTTACACATGCCATGGGGTACAGCCACATGTATGAATGAAATGGGGGACCGGAGAGATGGCTCAGAGGTTAAGAGCACTGGTTGCTCTTCCAAAGGTCCTGAGTTCAATTCCCAGAACCCACATAACAGCTCACAAGCATTTCTAACTCCAGTTCTGGGGCATCTGACACCTTCTTCTGGCCTCCTCCGGCACAACACTCATGGACTGCACGGACATACATGCAGGCAAAACATTCGTGTGCATCAAATCAAGAAGTCTTTAAAAAGTTTTGAGCTGGTGGTGGTGGCACACACTTTTAACCCCAGCACTGGGAGACAGAAACAGGCAGATTTCTGTGAGTTCAAGGACCCCCTGGTCTACAGAGTTGGGTTCATAGCTATCTATAATGAGATCTAGCGCCCTCTTCTGGTGTGCAGACATACATGCAGGCAGAACACTGTATACATAATAGAAGAATAAATCTGTAAAATTAATAAATAAATGAAATGTTATTTTAAAAAACATGATTACTTAAATAGAGAAGGCTGGGAATGTAGTTAGTAGAGTGTTTGCCTAGTATGTATGGAGGCCTTGAAGTCTTGCATTGCACAAAACAAGACATGGTGGCTTATAGAGGATCAGAAGATCAAGGCCATCCTAGGCTACATGGTGCACTCAAAGCCAGCCTGGGCTACATGAGAACCTCCTTAAATAAATAAAGGTGAGCATGGTGGTGGTCACACCTTTAATCGCAGCACTCAGGACGCAGCAACAGGCGGATCTCTGTGAGTCCGAGGCCAGCCTAGTTTACACAGTGGGTTCCAGGATAGCCAGGACTACATAATGAGACCCTGTCTCAAAAAAGAAGGAAAGAAGGGAGGGGGAGGAAGAGTAAAAATAGTTAAAATAAACAGAACATGAGGGAACAGTTGGAAGTACTTGTAGCATCTGGCTTCTCCTTCGAGCTCCTGTGTGCTTCCCAGACTGCCCCAGAGTCCTGGTCCACACTGCGGTTCCTTGTGCACACATGTTCATGGATGTAGTGTTTAGGAGCATCTACACATTCTCCTTTGCTGTAGAAGAGCAGGCATGTTGGTATCAGGAACCCTGTTTGCCCTAGGAAGCTCTAAGATCTGTTCCCACAGTGCAGGTGAGCAGGGAGCGATGGTTGCTAGGGAAATCCCTTTCCCCAGAGGACAGACATGTCCACTCTGGTCTGATTTAACACGTCATATAATGTTATCTCTATGACTGCCCGCTCACAGCTGTGTCGTGTGTGAACGAACACACAGCCTTTGGGGTAGCGTCTCACTCATATCCCAACCCCTCCTCAAAAGTCTCGGGGTACTTGGGGAGTAGAACATTGTGTCCATTCCTGTCCTCTTGGCCACAGTAGCCCGAGCAACAGAGCAGATGTTGATTCGGGCTCTGGGCGTAGTCCCCAGGCTTCCTTCATGGTGGCTTTATCAAGACTTCATCCTTCTCCTTCTCTGCCTCAACTCCACAGCCCCCAGAGTTCCCATTCTCCTGGTGCTCTCCACGCCCACCCCAGCCTTGATCCTGACCTTCCATCTAGTCACCCTCCTCCATCACTGAAATGATGATGCCACTGTGAAATGTCGGGGCTAGGGAGTAAGCCAATGGACCTCTAAGGCTGACGTCACCCTCCTCCTTGTCATTATCAAAGCAGCCACCAGGTTCTGGAAGCAGCCTGTCATCTCCAACATTTGAACTCTAGCATAGGTGGGATGATCGTAGATTCAGAGTCTGCTCGAGTAAAGTGTGGGTTCAAGGCCACTCTGGGTAACTTAGCCATAGGTGGACTTTCCTTCAGGCCATTGGCTCGCTCACACACACACACACACACACACACACACACACACACACACACAAAGACACAGGGACTTATTATTGAATATAAAAGCTCAGTCTATGGCTTATGTTGTCCCACTAGCTCTTACAACTTAAATTAACCCATTTCTATTACTCTCCATTTTGCCTTGTGTCTTGTCACCTCTCCTCCATCTTGCACCTCCTGTTTCCTCTCCGTGTCCTCTGGCGTCTTACCCACACCTATATTCATCTCCTCTCCTCTCTCTGCCAGGAAGTCCCGCCTAACCTCTTCCTGCCTAGCTATTGGCCATTCAGCTCTTTATTAAACCAATCAGAAGACACCTTGGCAAAGACACATCCTCACAGTGTACAAAACGATTCTTCCACAACACTTAGCAGGATCCTGTCTCCAAACACAAAAGAGCCTGGATGTGTAGTTCAGTGGGTGAAGGCTTGCCTCCTGGGTGAGGCCCTGGGCTTCATCCTTGGTGCTGACAACAACAAGGATTTTGGGAGAAGGATTATTTGGCTCCTGTTTCCAGAAGTATGGAGTTCATCTTGGGGGCGGGTGCACAGCAGTCAGGGTGCTCACTGGACACAGTAGCTGTTGAGGAGCTGGGAATTGGACCCAGGGCCTTATGCCTGCTGCAGGGGCTCTGCTGCTAAAGCTCAGCCCTGGGCCAATTTTTCTTTCTTACATTTTTGAGACAAGGTCTCACTAAGTTACCTAAACTGGCTTTGAACTTTCAGTATAGCCCAGGCTGACCTTGAATTTGTGGGCTCTCTCCCCCTTCTCTCTTTCTCTCTATCTATCTATATATAGATATACACATATATATGGTATTCTAATTTAATTTTTATGAAAACAATTTTTCCATAGAATATACTCTGATCATGATTCCCCTCCCCCAGCACCTCCCAAATCCTCTCTACCCATCCAAATCCACACCCTTCCCCTTTCTCTCTTTCATTAGAATACAAAAAGACACCTAAAGTAATAATAAAATTAGATAAAATAAAAACAAACAAACTGGCAGGGGTGGGGGAGCCAAAGAAAAATCATAAAAAACCCATACAGATGTTGACTGACACACATTTGCACACACAGAAAATCCACAGAAACAAAGTTGGAAACCATAATATAGAACCAAAATACCAATAAGGTTAAAAAGAAAAAAAAATACCCACACAAAGCATTGTGAGACAGAAATCTTCCAAAACCACCACTGAGTTGGCTTTGTGTTGGCCATCTGCTGTTATGGATTATTATTTTAACTAGGCAAAGATGAGTTCTATTTGTTTCTGCTGCATTTGTTTTATTATGAAAAGATGTGTTGCTGTTTCACCATGACTGCCTCAGGCACCTGATTGGTCTAATAAAAAACTGAATGGCCACTAGCTAGGCAGGAGAGGGGTAGGCAGGGCTGGCAGGCAGAGAGAATAAATAGGAGAACTCTAGGCTGGGAAAGGGAAGAGGAACGAAGAGGATGAGAAAGAAAAAGAGGGAGATTCTGGAGTCAGCAAGACAGGCAGCTGCCAGACAGACAGACATGGAAGAAACAGGAGAAGTAGACACCGTACAGAAAGAAAGGTTAAAAGCCCTGAGGCAAAACATAGATGGTGAGAGACAGGTTAAATTTTAAGAGCTAGCAAAAAATGAGCATAAGATAAGACTCTGTGGTAAAAAGGAGCGTCGGGCCGCTTCACGCAGCCTGGCTCCCAGCAGCCTGGCTATCTTATACCCTGAAATAACAACACACAAATTGTATTCATTTAAACATTGCCGGGCCCATTAGTTCTAACCTCTTATTGGCTAACTCTCACATCTTGATTCAACCCATTTCTAATAATCTGTATGTCACCACGAGCTCGTGGCTTACTGGGAAAGATTCAGCATGACTGACCTGGCAGCTTCATGGCAGGTGGCTCTCTCAGTCTCTGCCTCCTTTCTCCCAGCATTCTGTTCTGTCTACTCCGCCTACCTAAGTTTTGCCCTATCAAAAGGCCAAGACAGTTTTCTTTATTCAACCAATGAAAGCAACACATAGAAAGAAGATCCTCCTACATCAAGACTCCATAATTATAAATATTAAGTCTCCATGTCATGATTTGGGAGCTTGTTGGTGGCCCAAAAGAAGCAGCCTGGAACAGTCTATGGTTGGTCATGGACCTGCCCTTTGGTGTGGTTTGTATACCCAGTGAGAATCTGCTGGAGAGAATTCACTTTCCTCCACAGTGTCTCAGCTTCTCAGGTAGCTGGGATTACAGGCTCAGCTGAGACCCAGTGAGTATTGATTATATTGCAGAATCACAGATGCCAATAGCAAACATTTTAGACTCTGGGGCCACATGGCCTGTGCTGGAACTATTCATCCCTGTCCTTGGAGAGCAAAAAGCAGCAGCTGTGGATGAACCAAAAGTGAATGATTCCAGCCACGTTCCAGTCAAACTTAATTTTTATAAGTTTGTTGGTTGGTTGGTTGGTTGGTTGGTTGGTTGGTTGGTTTTTGAGAAATAATCTCACTATGTAGCCCTGACTGTCCAAGAACTCATTTTATAGACCATGCTGACCTTGAACTCACAGAGATCTGCCTGCCTCTGTCTCCCAAGTGCTGGGGTTAAAGATGTGTGCTACCACTGCCCAGCTCAAAATTTTTTAAAAATATATTGATTTGATTTTATGCACATGGATGTTTTGCCTGCATGTGTGTGCCTATGCAACCCATGAGTTCTGTGCCTGAGGAGGCCAAAAGAAGATTAGAAGGTGTCAGATGCCCTGGAGCTGGAGTTAGAAATGGTTGCAAGCTGCCACGTGGGTGCTGGGAATTGGACCTCTGCAAGAGCAGATAGTGCTCTGAACTGCTAAGCCTTCTCTCCAGTCCCAAAAATTTATTTTTAGAAAGCGTTAGGGAGCTAAAGAGAGGGCTTGGTGGGTAAGAGCACTGGCTGCTCTTGCAGAGGACAGGAGTTCAGGTCCCAGCACCTCCATCAAGTGGCTCAGAACCGTATGTAGCTCCACCTCCAGAAGATACAGTTATCTCTGGCCTCAGACACCCCCACTCAGTGCAATACCCACGTGCAGACACATATATAATACCCACGTGCAGACACAATACAATACCCACATGCAGACACACATGCCTACATATAATTAAAAACAATAAAAACATTTTTCAAAGCATTATAAGGAGATGGTGACTCATGTTTGTGATTCCGACACTTAAGAGGCTGAGGCAGGAGGATTGCCATGTGTTCAAGGCCAGCCTGGGCTACACAGTGCATTTCAAGGCCCAGTTTGGTCCTAGAGTCAGCACTACTCTATATCTGATTTTACTTAATCTCATAATAGCTCCCTGTGATAGAGACTGTTAAGGTCACTAAATTATATATGTGGAAACAAAGGCAGAGGGAGCCTAATGACCCCCTCACGGTCACCAGATCTTAATGCAGCAGAGGAAGATTCCCCAGTGACTGGCGGGCCACATGGCGATGGAGAAGGGGGATGAGGTGGCTCCCCTCCTGGCCGGTCCTTCCCCAGCGATGTCATTGCCTCTCAGCTCACATTGCTCTAGGCTTTAAAGTCAGAGAGGTGGCTGGGAAGATGGGGGGCAGAGTGCTCGCTGCCAAAGTACGAAGACCTGGGTTCAGGTCCCCAGAAGCCATGGAAAGCAGCGTGGCTCCCTTCTGTAATCCCAGCAATGGGGAGGCAGAGATAGGAGGATCGCTGGAACTCGCTGGCAGCCAGAACAACTCCATGTTCAGGGAGACCCTGTGTCAAAAGGTAAAGATGGAGAGCGGTAAAGAGACTCGCCCAGTGTTGACCTCTGGCCTCCACATGCACCTGCACACATGTGCACATGCACCCGCCCACAGACATGTGCACAGGAACACACAGGCATACACAAATTAAAAAAATAATAATAATAAAGGCTGGGCATGGCAGCAGTGCACTCTGGGGGCAGAGGCAGGAGGATCTCTGTGAGTGTGAGGCCAGCCTGATCTACAGAGAGTATTCCAGGACTATATAGTCAGGGCTAGCTATATAGTGAGACCCTGTTTGAATAATAATAATCATCAAAGCCAGAGAAAATATAAACTTCAGAGCAAGGTGCCTGGCTTATGCATGTAACTCAGAAGGCTGAGGCTGGAAGACCGCAGAGAATTTGGAGCCACCCTGCTCTATGTGGTGAGTTTGGGGCAGCATCTCAGAGAATGGACAGTAGTGTGACCTTCAAGGGGAAACGAAGCCGACAGCTCAGTGCATGGGGCCTCTCCAAGCTTGGGAACCCACCATGCCCTGTTCTCTGTGGATGTCACACAGTGTGGGCCAGCGCCATGGAACTGTCAGAGCAATGCATGGTCGAGGGACTCTCCGGGACGATACCTCCCACCGAGATCTTCATGGACCAGGACCTAGGCCAGCAAGACAAGGTGAGGGGGGGCCTCAAGGGGGAGGGGGACGCGGTGCTCTAGCAGCCAGAGGCCACCTCTTCTCTATGTCCTTTCTCCAAGGAACCACTTCTTATCTAATGGACAGTCACGTCCACAGCCAGTTTACTGAGCATCTGCTGTGAGCCAGGCTGAGCCCCTAACAACACTCTCAGCTCCTTCTGCCTTTGGAGGCTTCAGACAGATTTACTGATGGGGCGACTCCAAGCCCGAGAAGTTGAGCGACACGTCCAAGGGCGCACAGTGCGAGAAGTAGAACTAGATTCGCATCCAGGTCTGGCACACTTCTCTCACACACCCAGTCAGCCCCAAGTGATTGCACAGTGGTGGGAAAAACACACCCATACTGGTGGGAGGGAGTGAGAACCAAGGTTGGGGACAGCGAAGCCAAGGTGACACCTTAGAGAAGAGAGGAGAGGTCAGAGGCTGAACCCTTAAGGGAATCAGCATGGTAGAGCTTAGAAACTGACCACTCCCCACCTAGCCACAGCTTGAAAACAAAACAGAAGTCTGAGAAGGCGTGGCTTGCCTACCAGGCAGGCACCAGGCATGCAGGAAGTCCCCTGGCTTTGGTCCCCAACACTGCATAAATCAAGCAGGTAAGGCACACTTGTAATTCCAGCACTCAGAGGTAGCTGAGTGCTACCTCTCATCACCAGGAGGATGAGAGGCTCGAGGGCATCCTGGGCTGTATAATAAGTTCAAGGCCAGCCTGGGCTACGTGAGACCCTGCCTCCAAAGGAAGAGGCCACAACAAAGCACAGCCCACCAATACCCTCTTTCCTTACAGACCAGGGTCTGAGCCCAGGGAGGTTCAGCATGTGGTAAACAGGAACGCGGGCTTCCTCCGACTCTGGGTCACAACCTGAGAGTTCTGCAGCTAGGGCCAGGAGGCAGTTCTGAGGCTGATGTCCTGAGGCCAGACCATGAGGTGCTGTAGGAAGATGAGAAACCACCTTGAGGACATTGTCACTAGTCTGTCACCCTGCAGCAAGCCACCCCAAAACCCAGTGGTAGAAAGAAGCCACCACCACTCCCCCGTCTCCCCTGGGTTGACCTCTGCCGGTGTTTCGCACCTTATACATGACCACAATCAGCTCGGAGTGTCGCAGGGCTGGCGGTCTCAGGCGGTAGCAGCCACACGTAGGTCTGGGTCCTCAGCCAGATGGTGGAAATGGCAAGCTCTCTGCATGCCATCTCTCCCTGTCACAGCAGCCCCCAGGTCCCCAGTGTGTCATGGCGGACCCTGCGTACCTTGACTGTTCATCGGAGCTCCCTCCCTCTGTACCACTTCCACTACCTTCCGTCCGTCTGTCTGTCCACTCTGCTTACTCTGAGCTCACTCACTGTATCTTAGCTACCTTCTATCTGTGCACTGGAGTCACAAGCCGGCTGAGACTCAGTGGACAGGAGAAGAAATACCACCTGGTGACAAAAGCCACACACTGTCACTGTGTCTAGCCCACCACAGTCGTTACGCTGGGAATAAAGTGAAAACAGAATAAGTTTTGCTGCTTCACACCATTTATGCCCTGATTTCCCAAGGCGCCTCCAAGAACAAGGGACAATCAGCAAACAGGTAAAAATGTTCATTAGCCAATCTTACGGGACAGTTGAAAGGCTTCAGGCGTGGCTGGATCTAGGCTCTTCAGTGGCATCACTGGAATGCTCGCTGTTGCCTGTTCTACTCTTTGTCCCCTTTGCAGTCTGACATGCTCCAGCAGGCTGGTTTCCTGTGCTGGACAGGATGACTGTGGCCAAGCCCAAGCCTCTGTACCTAAGTCCGTTATCCAAGACCCTTGCGGCCATCTTAAAATCCGTACACAGGGGCTCTGAGAAAACGTGGTTGACCAGCCTGGGTCACAGAGACATGAGGAGGAGGGAGGGGGAGGGAGGGACTTGACTGACATCAATGCTACCAAGACCACATGGAGGGATTGCGTGACACTCCTTAAGGGGGGCATAGGGACCTCACCAGACACACAGAGGCCATTGCTGGACACCATACCTAAAGGTTTGTATCCAGGGTCCAGTGTAGAACCAGGCTCGCAGTAGGCGCCCAAGAAATGCTTGTGCCACGAATAATGATCAAGCATATTCTATGCTGAACATAAAGGCCCCAAGTGGCTCGCTTTGGATGAGGCAGGGGTTGCCTGGGACCACAGAGTCCGTTGGAAGCTGCAACATAAGTGTTAGCAAGAGAAAGACGTGGAAGCAGCTGGCAATGCCAGCAGGCTCCTTCACGCCTGTGATGTCTTCCATCCCCAGACATGTATGTAGTTAGGATTCTGGTTTTCCGGTCTGTCTGACATTCTGAGGGGTTCAGGGTACCCTCTCCTGCTTTGGTGAAACAGGGAGAATTCTTTGGTCACTTGGTTTTCCTAGGGAGATGTCGCATTGGCTCCTACTGTGGGAAACTCTGCCGGCAGCGCCCCCATCCCAGAGTTTCAGAAGCCACCAGGCATTCGGCATTATTTCTTGACTCAGTTCCCTGAATACACTCTCATGGTGGCTTCCACAGAATGTAGAGAATTCCAGGAGAGCGGAAAGAAAAAAGAAATGACCCCTCCACAATACATAAAAAGTATTAAATTAATACCCTTGTTGTGGTCAGAATGTGCTGGGACTGAATGCCATTTTAATTCCTTTGCTGGGTCTTCTGCCTACCTTCCCCCACTCCAAACTTCCCCAGAGTGACACCCATGTTTCCCTCATATTGTGGAAACAGGCCCAGCTTGCCACCCACAGCCACCCCTGCTAACCTCCCTCTTGTCCACACACAGGATGAGATCATCCTGCTCCTGGGGAGAGAGGTCAACCGGCTCTCTGATTTTGAAATTGAGTCCAAATACAAAGACACGGTGATAATGAACCTGCGGAGTGAGTTGGCCGACCTGAGTCAAAGGCTATCGGAGACAGCCGCCGCCGCCGCCGCACGGCAGAGCGACAGGGGCACCCTGAAGTTCCAGGGCCTGGATGAAGGCAACGACCCTAGGCAGAAGGAGATTGAGAGCATGAAAAGCCAGGTAGGACCCGGAGACAAGTCCTCCAGAGCCCAGAGTCCCCACCCTCAGAGTAGAGCCGGGGTGCAGGTGGGAGGAGCTGGAAGAGGGGCATCTAGGACATCATGGAGGCAAGGAGCAGAAGGTCACCAGGGCCCAGCTTCCCAAAACAGCAGACAGCATGTGTTGGGTCCTGGGGAACATTCTTTAGCGCTGCCACGGTCTTCTGATGCATCCCACAGAGACGCCAGGAGCTGCCAGAGCCTGTGCAGCTCACTGGAGGCGGCAGAACACCGCAGACTCAGTTCTGCTCTGCCCAGTTGACCCCACACCCTCATCCCAGCTGCTTATTTCTACCCCAAGGCATGGTTTTCTTGCATTAATGACTTCCCATCCCACCCAGCATGCCCCACTCTAAGAGAGTTCCGGGCAGTTAGCCTAGGAATGAGGATTCCCAGCCCATCCAATTCCAACACCTCCTCAAGCCCTGAAGGTCGCCGCTGGCTCCGTGACAGGCAGTGTCATCAAATGAGAACTCCCCACTTGGACGGTCTCCGTTAACCAGGCAGCGTCCAGTCTCTGGAGCTAGATCCAAATTCTTGTTTTATGGTAACAGCAACTGGGCTGAGGAGATGGCTCAACTGTTATAGTGCTTGGTGTGCAAACACAAGGACCAGAGTTCGATCCCCAGGCCCGTGGAAAGGAGCAAGGCATGCAGCGTGTGTGGGAAACTCTTACAAGGCCCCACCCCTAAAGAGCTACAATCAGCCAATGGCGTGGTCAGCCAGAAACACACGTGCCTGTAAGCGGCACTAAATGGGCTTAGTAGGATATATATATATAGATAGATAGATTTATAGATATATAGATATCCATACATATATCTGTGTATCTATATATACAATCATATAAGAATAATTACACAATAAATTATGTAATACATATAATTATGTAATAAACTATATAGCAATAATTTATAGTACATATCTGTATAGATGTAACAATAATGATTAAAGATGAAGTCAGGAATATGAGAGAGAGTGGGACATGGGAGGAGTTGGAGAAGGAGGGGAGAGGCAGAAAGTATGTAAGTATAGTACTCATATATGAAATTCTTAAAAAATTCTATTTAAAAATACTTAAAATAAGCAAGGTACTTATAATGCCAGCACTGGTGAGGTAGAGACAAGGTCTTCAGCCTCTTCTGTCAGCCAATCTAGTCAAAGAGGCAAGCCCCAGGCCCCAATAAGAAGCGCTGGTCAGTGACTCCCCAAAAATAAGGTCTGAGGTTGACCTTTGGGCTCTACATGCACATATATACCCATACACATGAACATACCTGCATACATACACCCGCATACATGCCTGCACACATATGCCTGCATATACACCTGCATACACACCTGCAAATATATGCCTGCATACACACTTGCATACATATGCTTGCATACACACCTGCATACACACTTGCATACATATACCTGCATACACACCTGCAAATATATGCCTGCATACATGACTGCATACATACACCTGCATACACACTTGCATACATATGCCTGCATATACACCTGCATACATATGTCTGCATACACTCCTGCAAGCATATACCTGCATATTCACCTGCATACATATGCCTGCATACACACCTGCATACATACAAAAAGGTTGAAAGAAATAATAATGTGTGGCCACATTGGTTGTGTACATAAACTATTAATGATTAACATGAGAGGGTCCAGTTCACTGTGCCAGTGCTATCCATAGACTGGTGGGTCTGGGTTCTAAAAGAAAGCAGGCTGAGGTCAGGCAGTGGTGGTGCACGCCTTTAATCTCAGCGCTTGGGAGGCAGAGGCAGATGAATCCCTGTGAGTTCAAGACCAGCCTGGTCTACAAGAGCTAGTTCCAGGACAGCTAGGACTGTTACACAGGGAAACACTGTCTCAAAGAAACAATGAGTCAGGCATGGTGGCACACACCTTTATTCCCAGCACTAGGGAGGCAGAGGCAGGTGGATCACTGTGAGTTCAGGGCCAGCCTGATGGACAGAGTGAGTTCTAAAATAGTCAGGACTATGCAGAAAAAAACCTGCTTGAAAAAAACAAACAAACAAACAAACAAAACGAAGGAAGGGAGGGATGGAGGGAGGGATGGAGGGAGGAAAGGAAGGAAGGGAAGAAGAAAGGAAGGAAGTATGAGCCAGAGTAAACCCTCCTTCCGGAAGCTGGTTTTCTCGGGTATTTAGTCACAGCCTGTCTGAACCCAAAGATGTGCTGGATCTGAATCCGACTCCAGTTCCACCGGCTCCTGTTTTAGCGTCTGAACTATTTTATTGCCAGCAGAACCCTTGTGCAGAAGTCAAAGCTGCACGGCAGGTTAACGAATGGCTCTGATTATTTTGTGTTAGCAAGGGTCTCCTGAAAGCGCGTACCTAACGATTTGCTCTCAACGCACTCCATCCGCCACCGTGCCACTAAACCACGCATGCCTTTCTGCGCCTGCGCTAATTAGCGGCTGGTTATCACCTCTCGGCAATCATTCTTCTCGAGCTGTTAACTTTCTTATGATCCAATACCCGTTTTATTACGCAGCCTAACCAGGCAATAAACACCCTGGGGCTTGTGCCAATGACAGACAATCTGGATATTTATTTGGGTAATGAAGGCTATGAAGACGGCTGAAAACTGTTTGCAATTTGAGACCCTGGGGCTGTGGCGCTTGATTGAAATATTTTCCGTCTAATGGCCTTGAACTCTCAGGGGCATCCCTTCCCATCTTGGCCACAAGTTCATCGTTAGAGAAGGCCTTTGTTAACCTGCACAAGAAAGATTTAGACTGAGAATTAGAAACGTTTGTTTTTAGTTTTGAATGTGTGTAGTGCATGCCTGCACATGTGAACCGGTGCACACACCTGTCCCACTCAGTCTTCTTCCCCTGAGACAGGATTGTTCAGCCTGGAGCTAGACTGACAGCCAGCAAGCCCCAGGGACCGCAGGGCTGGGCTTGTGTGTTGACGCTGTTGTTAGTCATGTGGGTGCTGGGATCCGAACTCGGATCCTCATGCTTGAGCAGCAAGATCTCTTACCCACTAAGCTGTCTCTGAAACCCCTAGAAACGTTTATTTCTAATTGCAGGTATCTTTTACAGTAAACAGGAAGAGGTGAGTTGTCTTCATCCGGGGTTTATGTAGGGGAATAGGTTACAGTTGTAGTGTTGCAGAGATGTCCTGACTTATTGGGAAGCCAGGTTATACTTAGAGCAGCAATAGGACAGCCCTGGAGGCTGGAGCCCCAATAGGACAGCTCGGCTCTGAAGGATAGAGCTGCAATAAGACAGATCAGCCCTGGAGGAAAGGTGTTCTGACTATTGGGAAGCCAGGCTACCTGAAGTTGGAGAGTCGATACAGCTGAGTTCTGCTCTGTTCCCTTAAGGCAGCGTCCCAGCAGAGCTATCTGCCTTTTCTCCGGTCCAAGACGTTTCTTCCTTTGCTAACACTCTGCTAAAGTGGAAGCCGGTGCAGAAATGTAGCAATCTCCTCTGGCTCCTGGGAAAAGGTTGTTGCCTTTTTCTGCCTGGCCTTGCTCAGACCCCTTAAGGAGCATCCTAGCAAGGTTCTTCTGTGTTGCTCCACCTTGCTCAGGGTCCCCTAGGGGAGCATCCCACACAGGTCCTTCTAGTCTGCACCAGCGAATGAAAGCTGTCACCCAAGACTCTTTTGAGGAAGAGGAGTTTGGGACAGAGAAGTCTAGGGGAGTGGCTGCCTCTGCCAGGGAGGGATAAATGTGGCTTCTAACTGACTGGGCAGAGAGGCTTATATAGGGTTTCTTAGGGGCGGAGTTTTCCCAGGGAGAAGAGGGATTGGTTAGTTTAGTTGGTCAGGGGCAGAGATGGCTCTGACTTTATGGTCAATCTGTGTTTCTTTCACTGGTCCTTCTTAGCTTTTTGACTCTAATCTTAGGACCAGGGCATATTTCTTTCACTGCCTCTGAGTCTAGAGACAAAATGTGTTTCTTTGATACTAGTTTCAGAGTCAGGGCACATGTTTTTAGTCCTGGGTTCAAGAATAAAGATATTTTCCACCCTGGCTCAGGTCTCAGATCCAAAGAGTGTTTCTTTTACTGACCAGACTCAGAGTCAGGATGCTCAGTGATTGGTTGGTTTCCTGCTCCAGTTGTCCCTTTTACCCTACAGTTTCCAAAGCACACATTCAGGTGTGTCACTCCAAGGATGGTGAGGGGTACAGCCTGTGCCCCCCCAAACACACACTCTGGCATTTACCCTCCTTGGTTTTTTTTCATTACTTAAAATTTTTTTAGAAGATTTAAATTCACACAATATGAACTCTTGAAAAGTGAAATTTTTACGTCCCAATAAGCCTCTCTGCCGACATAATAATCCAAATCAGACTAAATCAAACTAAATTAGAAAAAGCCCAGGTTTAATGGATGCCAATGCTCCCAGGTGGCCTTCTAGCCCCCCAGAGAGGAGCTGGGAAGGAAGACCGGAAAACCGTGTGTTTGTTCTCTGGGTTGCTGTTTAAATACACTGTGGGAGTGGTCTTGAGCATCTCTGGGGAGGGGTCATCACTTGGAGGGCTTTCTCAGGGGTGGAGTCTGGACTGAGGCAACTCCCAGAGGAGGGGGCTTGGGATGGAACTTCCACTCAAACATTCCAGACTTTTGGGTATATGGATGCCAGGGGCTGGGGTAGAGCCTTAACCCAAACAAGAAGTAAAGGGGATTTAAATTTACATAGTAAGAATTAATGAACAGTAAAAGGGCATCATGAGCCAAACAAAACCGAAACCCACTGGAAATAATAAAATGGGTGAAAATGTGAGAAACAACAGAACAGCACCATCAGGAGCCTTATCTGCTACTAAGAAGTGAATGTGAACAGCGGCTCCTAACAGCCTCATGAGGACCTTGAGGCTGCCTATGGTTGGTCTAATCTAGCCAATCATGATGTGTTGGGGTTTAAAGTGTGCTTAACATTCACTGAGATTTAATTATAGGGCCGTTTCCTGCATAAAGGAACCTTTCCCCTCTCACGGCCCCTTTCTAGTTTCCAGGCACTTCTCCCTGACTTCCACATAGATAGTGCAATATATATATTGAGCTGGAGAGATGGCTCAGCGGAACCCAGGCTGTTCTGGTAGCACCCACAGGGTGGGATCCAATGCCCTCTTCTGGCCTCCTAGTGCATCACGGATACATGTGGTGCACAGACATACATACAGGCGTATACTCATACACAAATAATAAAAAAAGAAAAAAACTAAAAAACCTAAAAGTTAAGATCCAGTTTTGAGGGCTAACAAATGACGTTTGTCCTTCTGAAATCAGAGGGAAGTCCAACTCAGGCCTCTTGCGCCATCTAGTGGTGAGATGCAGGTGCAGCGTCATGTCACCCCACCACCAACACCATCATATGGGTGGAGCAGGATCTGCCCTTTGTCTTTTTCAAGCCAGGACTGTGACAGGGTGTGACAGTCAGCAGTCACCGGTAGTTAAGTTTGTCTAGACTGGATTCACAAGCACACACAAAAGTATTATAGTCTGTCTTCCTTCCCCCAAAGCAACCAGAGGCTAAAGCCAAAATAGCACGAGATAATCATATAATCACAGGCATTGTCTGAGCACTTTTAAGGCTATTAGCTTATAAAATCTCTCCACAACCCTGAAAAGTCGTACTTGCATGACCACACTCACAGAACTAAAAGCTAAGATAAGACCAGGCATGGCACGGTGGCGCATGCCTTTAGTCCCAGTACTTGGGAGAGGCAGAGGCAGGCAGATCTCCGTGAGTTTGAGACCAACCTGGACTAAGTGAGTTCTAGGACAGCCTGTTCTACTGAGAAATCCTGTCTCGAACAAACAAAAACCTAAGACAGGACCCAGGGTCTTTCCTATGGCAGCAGAGACCAGAGATGGAAGGGACCAGATGTTGGCAGTCCCCACCCCGCAAGTGCAGGCTACACAGTATAGACGCCAGCTCGCTCTCTTGTCTCTCTGTCTCTCTGTCTCTCTGTGTGTGTGTCTCTCTCTCTCTCTCTCTCTCTGTGTGTGTGTGTGTGTGTGTGTGTGTGTGTGTGTGAATGTGGTTGTGTGCAGGTGTCTGTGTTTGCATGCAGGTGTGTATATATAGAGGCTAGAGACTAAAGGTTAAAGCCAGGTATCTGCCCCTGTCCTATTGTGTGGTGTTTTATACTTTTTGCTTTTTTTTTTAAGAGGCCTACCACCCAGTTCCCAAATAAATCACACAGAGAGACTTGTTCTCAGTTATGAATGCCCAGCCTTAGCTTGGCTTATTTCTTGTCAGCTTTTCTTAACTTGTCCCAGCTACCTTTTCCCTCTGTGTACCTTTCTTCGCTTCTTTCTCCGTGACTGGCTGGGTGACTGGCTAGCTGGCCCCAGGCATTCTTCTCTCCTTGTTCTCTCATGACTCCTCATTCTTCCTCCTCCCAGATGTCTCCTTCTACTTATCCTCTCTGCCTGCTAACCCTGCCTATCCTTGCTCCTGCCTCGCTATTGGCCGTTCATCTCTTTATGAGAACCATCAGGTGTTTTAGACAGAACCAGTAACACAGCTTCACAGAGTTAAACAGATGCAACATAAACAAAAGTCACACACCTGAAAGTAATATTCTCCAACACTATCCCAATTAGATTTATTGAGACAGATTTATTGTTATTGAGACAATTAGATTTCTCTGCGTAGTCCTGCTTGTCCTAGAACTCCCTTTGTAGACCAGGGTAGCCTCAAATTCAGAGATCCACCTGCCTCCACCTCCTGAGTCCTGAGATTAAAGGTGTGCGCCACCACACCCATCTCAGGAATCTTTTCTCAATAGCTCTCCACTTCTGTTTCTTGACAGGATCCTTAATTAGCCAGAAGGTTATGGTCAAGCTAAACTGGCTGGTCAGTAAGCTTCAGGGGCCACCTGTTCCCACCCCAGCTCCCTGGACTGGCGGTTAAATGCACAGACCACTGTAGCAGGCCAATGAGCTTCAGGGACACACCTGTCCCCACCCCCCAGGGCTGGGGTAATGGACACACCACTGAACCAGCCTCTGTCCTCATGCTCACAAAGCTGGCACTTCACCCACTGAGACATCAGCCCCCAGAGCATCCAACACCAGTACCTGTGGTCTGTGATAGATGAGGAGCCAGGCACCTGCAGGCTGAGCTTAAATGAAGCCCCAAAGCAGGCCAACTGTGAGACCCTAAGCAGGCCATCCCAGATCTCCTGATCTTGATTTCAAGTGGGAACCATATGGGGACATCTTTTAGCGTGCTAAAAGGCTCTGTAGAAGAAACCGGGTCTGTGCCTATGTCTGGAGCACTGGCAAGTGTGTCTGACTTTTGGACATCGCAATTCAACAATGCCATTGACAGAATTCATGTGTAAGAACTACACTATTTAAAAATTATATCAAAATAATAGTAACATCATGGGCCAGTGAAAGCGTTTTCTCCCAAGCCTTAACTGAAATGAAAAAGAAAATGAAACGTATGCCCTGGCAATGCTGAAGCATGCATGGGCAGCCCATATATGGTGGTTCTGTTGAACTTGTCCATATTGGGTTCCATGGTCTAATGTTGTTGACAACCAACATTAGATGAGGACAACCAACCAGGTCTCTTCCTCAGGAGGGCACCAGATCTCATTACAGATGGTTGTGAGCCACCATGTGGTTGCTGGGAGTTGAACTCAGGACCTTTGGAAGAGTAGGCAGTACTCTTAACTGCTGAGCCATCTCTCCAGCCTTAACTACCTAAGCTAAATTCCTGGGCCCCACAGGGGGAGAGAGAGAGAGAGAGAGAGAGAGAGAGAGAGAGAGAGAGAGAGAGCGCCAACTCCTGAAGGTTGTCCTTGGACCTCCACAGATACACTATGGTATGCTCATACCATATATGTTTGCTCATAACAAACCCCCCAATAAAATTGTTTTTAAAACTCATAGTGTTTTAAACCAGTTTCTGGTTTTGTGTTGGATCCCATCCATAGCTAACCTGGGGGCACACACACAGTCTGTGGGTGGCAGGTTGATCATGTCTTCTAGAGGGCTCTGTGAAATATGCCCATTGTCATCTGAGGAAATTAAGGTTATGACCTGTGCCCTCTCTTGAACTCTGCTCGACATCTAGCCAGTGATGGCTGACGGGAACCCCAGGGCTGGTCTGTTTATGAGAGTTCCAATGACCTAAGGATGCACATTAAAGGACAGATATCCCAGGGCAGCGGCACCTTTGTCAGCCCCAAAACAAGATCTGGTGATACATCAGAATCTCTGCACAGGTTTGGGAAATACCCCTGCGTCTTGGATCTGGGCCAGCTGCCCTCTGACTATGTGCTGCCTCCTCTCACAGATCAGCGCCCTTCAAAAAGGCTATAGCCAGATGCTGTGTCATACCCTGGCCGAGCGCAACTCAGAAATCGCGTCGCTGAAGAATGAAGGCGAGAACTTAAAGAAAGACCACACCATCACATCAGGTGAGCTCTTCTGGAGTCAGGCTTAGGAGACGCTTGCTACCCCACCACTCACTCTTGTGGCCCTGGCAGACATCACCAATCAACCACCGCATTTTGCTCCCTGAACTTGGACAGAGCCTCAGAGTTCTTAACAACCCTCAAGCCATGCTGTCGGTGACTGGGGGTCTTCCCCAGAAGTGTGCTCACCAGCCAGCTTTAGCCCAGGGACCACCTCAAAGTCAGCCATCCTGTGACCAAAGTCACTCAATATCTGAGTAGACATCATCTGTTAGCTAGCACCCATCTCTTCGGGAGAACAAAGATGCTGAGTGGCCTGGAGCCCTGAGAACCATTTCTTGAATGGGCTCTTGACCCAAGTAAAGACATTTTACCAACTGATCAACTGAGGTACTTTCATG